GTATGCATGTTCTGCTGCCTTCCTTTTCCCTTCTTTCACGAGCCATCGAGTTCTGAATATCTAAAGCTTCATTTTGATTTACTAATTCTGGCAACACCAAATCATAAAGTTTGAATTCTGGCAACAGCATTAATTAGGCTCGATCGCCAATTCGCCATTGGAGATGACGGATGGAGCCATATTAGGCGTTAAAAGCCGTGGTTTTTAGTAATAAAATGCTAAAATCCGATGTTATTAAGCAGAATCTGAATGAAGAAACATCGTCAAATATTGTTAGGAGCACACAGTAGGTAAAAAGACAAGTTTTGAAGATAGAAGTGTTACAGTACATTACATTACAGTGCATTAGCGCCGGGAAGCCTCCTGTCCGCCTACACTAGACCTAGCCCAGGCCATGTAGGCTGGCCGAGGCCTAGGCTAGACCTACAACAGAGGAATAGAGCTAGGCCTAGCCTAGCCCATAGGCCTAGGACTCGGCCTAGGCTAGGTAGGAGACTTACTTTACTTTTCTTAGCCTAGGGCTAGGCCTAGCCTAGCCCAGCCCAGGAGGGAATCCGAGCCCTAGGTAGGTTAGCCTAAGCCTTAAAGCCTAGTTTAGGTACTATTTTATTGACATATAAACAATACATACTCAGACTGTACGACTTGTGTTGAGTTGTAACGAAAATTCCACTTTTTCAGGCCATGTGACCTACGGCACATCTGCTGTTTTCTCCTAACTTCTATCTAGGTATATTTGTATCATCAAAATTTCCCAAATGGTACTCTTCAGAATCCGATGTCGTATTCCCAGGGGCGAGTTTTTGACCTTTACGAAACTTCTGCATGATGATGAAACTGATAGAGATCCTGCTGCAGACCGGCAGCGAGACGTAAGTCAGCCACGCTTTGCAAAGCAGCCAGGCTTTGCAAAACAGTGACGTAGGCTTGGCTCTTCCATTTTTAGAATAGGGAAACTTTTTTTGAAGGTAGTATCGCGTCATTTTACGTCAAACCATAACAATCTGCGTCAATGTAGGTAAGTTTGCGTCAACATACGTAAATTCCCGTGGAATTAACGTCAACACTAAAAAAAAATCTGAGTGTTTGAGGTGTATTGGGTGTATACGATACGAACGTACTTTTAAACTAGGTAAGACTTAACAAATGCTTTAATTGGAAATGGAAACATAACACTTAACAATGGCTTATCTTTTTTTACGCAAGGCTTACCTCGAGGCCTAGGCTCCTAACTAGCTTAGCTAGGCCTAGGCCCTAACTAGCTAGGCCTAGCTAGCCTAGACTCGGGCCTAGCCTACCTAGGCCTAGGCTAGCCATAGGCTAGCCTTGGGTACTAGGCTAGACCAAGGCCTAGTAGTATAAGATATGTAAGATATATTTATTCATTCGTCCAATTTGTAACACTCTGAAAATTGCTTTCCTTTTTTGGGCTAGAAAACAGTAAAAACACAAAAATACAGAGCACAGACAAATACACAAAAAATATGTCCCAATA